ACCTCATCTCTACAATAAATCAAAAATTAGCCGGACGTGGTAGCGCACGCCTGTAGTTCTAGTTACTTGGAAGGCTGAGGCGGAAGAATCACCAGAGCCCAGCGGGTCGAGACTGCGGTGGCCGGGAGCATGCCACTGCACTCCAGTCTGGGAGATGGAGTGAGACTCAACTCAAAAAAAAAAAAAAAGAAAAAGGAAAAGAAAAGAAGGGTGCTGTTAACAGAAGAGGGGGGACTGGATACTTGTCCACAGGTAGAAACAAGGAGGTCAGTAGTTATGGGGGAAGAGGTATTTGAGCTTGGTCTTAACAGATCATGGGTATTTTAAAAGTGGAAGATGGAGAAACAGCATCTCAAGTAAAATTTTCAAAATATGAGGACAGGTAAGGAAGTAGAGAAATGCCTGGTATGTCTGGGAAATCGAATTTCAGAGTAACTGAAGCAGAAGATTTGTGCAAACAGTAGTAGGAAAGGAAAAAAATGACATTCTCAGAGATGAGAGGGGCTTCTGGTATGAATGATGGGAGAAATGGAATTGGCACAGGGCCCTAATGGATGGGTAGGATTTAGACATGATACCTTACAAGTTAGGTAACAGTGAAATAGAACAGAAGATCTGCAAAATCAACAGAAATAGAATAGAAGATCTGCAAGATTCTGAGAGTGTTAAAGTGCAAAGAAGGCTGGCCTTTTAGTGAGAAATTTTTGTTTTGAGGCCTGCCTCCACAGTCGTGGGCCACTGCTGCCACTGCTTGAGAGTCCCTGCCTGCATCATAGGCTCCTAAGTTTTACCTCACAGGAAGGTTTGCAGCTAAGATGTGACCAGGGAGCAGAAACGAAAATGCTCTACAAATGTTCAGTTTTTGCTGACTTAGTCTGAAGTAAAAACTGAGTATCTTTTGCATTAGCTGCAATTTTGGATTCTAGCAACAGCATGGATGATCACAATCCAACTGTTATTTTTGAAGAGAGAATACACCTACACAAGCCAGTTCTCTAAAGGCACCCTTCCTCCTATCCGCCCCCCTTTGCAGTTGCCAGAGCCAAGTATCTGTGGCTGGGAATCAAGCCATCTGGGTTTGAGACCTGCTTCTGCCATTGTCTTCTGGGTGACCTTGAGCAAATGGCTATTTGCTTGTGGACCTCTTTATCCAGAGATCTGTGACTGGGAATTGACCAGCCTAGGGAGTTCCCTCTAGAGGCTGAGGAGGTAATATAAACATGTGAATGAGAAGTGTAAGGCTTTCTGACAAACTGGAGAGTGAAAGCTAAGTCCAAGGGATTCAGTTTTTAAAAGCCCACGGAGGCTGGGCACGGTGGCTCATGCCTGTAATCTCAGCACTTTGAGAGGCCAAGGTAAGAGGATTGCCTGAGCCCAGGGGTTCAAGATCAGCCCGGGAAACTTGTCGAGACCTCGTCTCGACAATAAAAAATAAAAATAAATAAAACAAAAGAGCCTGGTGTGGTGGTGGCACATGCCTGTGGTTCCAGCTACCTGGAAGGCTGAGGCAGAAGGATCAGCTGAGCCCAGCAGGTCAAGGCTGCGGAGGCCGTGAGCGTGCCACTGCACCCTAGTCTGGGCGACAAAGTGACTCCTACTTAAAAACAAACAAACAAACCCAAAACCCAAAAAAACCCTTGGAGTTGCCAAAAAACAACACCTGAATTCAGCCCAAGTTCCTCAGTTTGAGATCTCTGGAGGCCTGTCCTAATGCTTAGTTTTTGTGACTGACTTTTCCCTAGCCTTTGAGGAGGATCGCTGCTTCGCCCCCTTCCTGGCACATGGCAACGTCACTACCACAGACCCTGAGTACCGTCCAGGGGCACTGGCAACCTTCTCGTGCCTCCCAGGATATGCCCTGGAACCCCCTGGTCCCCCCAATGCCATCGAATGTGTGGATCCCACAGAACCCCACTGGAACGACACAGAGCCAGCCTGCAAGGGTGAGCTCTCCACATCCCAGGCAGTCCTTCGGTCTACAGACTACCAGCTAAACTGGGGAATATAGCAGGGTCATTCAGGAAGGACACCTGCAGGTCCCAGCCTAACAAACCCAAGCCTTGGGTAAATCCCTATACCTTCAAAGGCTGTTTTCTTTGCTGAATAAGTGGTGGACTTGTTTCCAAATTCAGGGCTTACAAACCCAAGTACCTCAAGAGCCAAACCTGGAATTGGACTAAGTCATGGGGGGGGGGTAGGCTGGAGAGTGGCTGGGCTAACTAAGAAGTGGGTCAGGGATCACACACGACAGGACTTAGATGTGGCAAGAAGCGGGTAGATCATAGATGAGAGAACACGTGGGGCGATGTGGTGCACACATTGGGAGTGGTGAGGACCGTGGTGAAATGAGACTGCATACCCACCTGGGTCTTGAACCTGTGCCCTTTCTCCCCTAGCTATGTGTGGAGGGGAGCTGTCGGAGCCAGCTGGTGTGGTCCTCTCTCCTGATTGGCCCCAGAGCTATAGCCCTGGCCAGGACTGCGTGTGGGGCCTGCACGTCCAGGAAGAGAAGCGTATCTTGCTCCAAGTTGAGATGTATGTTTGGGTCCTGTAGTGGCAGCGATGGTGTGGGCTCAGTGAAGTGTGGAATGAGACAATGCACTAGCCTGTTTTCTGAACCTGGCTAGCTTTTCTGTGTCTACGCAGAATTTAGTGAATATATGGTCTGATGGATAAGAGTTCAGGATAGGAGTAGGAGACCGAGGTTCAAATCATCTATTACCCAGGCGTGGAACGGGTGTGGGTATGGGGAGAATCCGGTAAGCTAAATTGGTACGAGGTGGTCATGTGACTGGACAGAACCAGAGGTGGGCGTGGCCCCAAAGCAGGTACTCAGGCGGGGCCTAGAGTTTTGCAGGGTGGCAATGAGTAGCATCCGAGACTGGCCAGAGCTGGAGTTGGGCTAGGCTGTGGATCCCATGGTGATGGGCGTAGTTAGTAATGAGCAAGGTTGGGGATTAGGAAGCAGGAGATGGGAGGGGCCATAGAACAGGTGGAACCTGGAGACGCTAGCACAAGAGAAAGGATGATTTGTCAAAAAGGCGGCGGCGCCAGACCTGGAGATAGGGGAATACCGGGCGAGGCTGGGGAGTAGGTGGGCTTACCAATGAACAGAGTTGGGGGTTGGGCAGAACGGGAGGGCGGGGCCGGCTGTAGCCGCGCCCTATTATCTGTTCCTACTCCCTACAGCTTGAATGTGCGCGAAGGGGACATGCTGACACTGTTTGACGGGGACGGTTCTAGCGCCCGAGTCCTGGCCCAGCTGCGGGGACCTCAACCACGCCGCCGTCTCCTCTCCTCTGGGCCTGACTTAACATTGCAGTTCCAGGCACCGCCCGGGCCCCCAAATCCAGGCCTGGGCCAGGGCTTCGTATTGCATTTCAAAGGTACCGAGGGCTAGGGTCCCGAGGTGGGTACGGGTTCAGCAGTCCAGAGCCCCGGGAGAGGGCTCAGGAGCAAAACCTCAGAGGCTGGAAGGGCGCCCTGAGTCAAAAGGCAGCCTCCAAACGCGTCCTCCCTCCCCTGCAGAGGTCCCTAGGAACGACACGTGCCCGGAGCTGCCACCTCCGGAGTGGGGCTGGAGGACGGCGTCCCACGGGGACCTGATCCGGGGCACGGTGCTCACCTACCAGTGCGAGCCTGGCTACGAGCTGCTGGGCTCCGACATTCTCACCTGCCAGTGGGACCTGTCCTGGAGCGCTGCGCCTCCCGCCTGCCAAAAGAGTGAGCCGGGCCCGCCTTCGTCCTCTCAGGCTCCGCCCCTGTCCCTCTGGGTTTCGCCCCTTCGCGTGGGCCCCGCCCCAGCCCATGTAGGCCCCGCCTCCGCCCTTTCCTGTCTGGGTCCCAGTCCAGTCCGGGTTCCATCCCTTGGCTCTGGGTCCTAAGCGGATCTTCTTCAGGCTCCGCTCTGTGCCCTTTGGCTTCCTCTCCTCCGCTCAGTGCCCCGAAACTGTCCTGGGTCCTGCTCTGATCTTCCCCGGGCTACAACCTTTTCTCTTATACGGATCTGGGCTCTGTCTCCGTTTCCGCTGGGTCCCACTGCACTGTGTCGAGACCCTGCCCCCTCTTATTCTGACCCACCTGGGCCGCGTCTGAATTCCGCCCCTCTGGGGCTCTGCCTGGGTTCCCACTGGGCTCTGCCCCATCAACCCTTGCTTTCATCGGTCCAGTTCTAGGCCCCGCCCCAATCTCTCAGTCCCCAACACTTGCCATTGTGGGAGGCCACTTTGCTAGGACCAAGGCTTGCCAGAGCATTTGGTTTATTATTTGAATGCAGTCATTGAAGCCCTGTGCTGGGTTGGGGTTATGCCAAAGGGGTTAGCGCCCCGTCATACCCTGAGGGAGCTCAGTTGGGAAAGAAGACAGGTGTGGTAACCACTGGGTGACTTTGGGCAAGGCACTTAACATCTCTAATCCTTGACTTCCTCATCGGTAAAGTGGGAGTAGGAGGTTGTGAGGAGCAGATGAAAAATCTTCACACAATGCCTGGTGCTGTCAACAGTGAGTGAGTGGTAGCTGATCTATGAAGAAGGGCTGTGGAAACAGCAGTGGTCTAATTCTCTCAGGGATGGGGCAGGAGATTTCACAGAGGAGGTGATATTTGAGGGAGCTGGGGGTGTTTATCTTTTAGAAGAGCAGAAAGGAGTGGCATCTGTTCACTTTCTCCAATTTTTAGAAAGCCTGCCACCAGGACGTGGGGGTGTAGGTCTTCCCTCCGGGCAATGGTGGAACCATTGGGGAGAAATTTCAGGAAGCCAGATTTGAGCTGGACACAAGAAAACTCTCCAGTTGACACAGCTCACCATCCCTGAAAGGATTCACAGGATGTCGGGCTTGGACTGGGCTTAGAGTTCAGCTGACCCTGTTGCCTGGGGCTCAGGAGAGACCCTGTCCAAGGCAGCAGCACATTGAGCCTTGTCTGTGCTCTGTGGTTGTGACCCTGTGCAGATTCCAGCTCTGCCACTAGATGACCAAGTGACCATGGGCCAGTCATTTGACTGCCCTGGGCCCAAAGGGAGATGACACTGGTATTGACCTCCCAGGATAATCAGAGTTAAATATTATGTTTGTGGCCAGGCTCGGTGGCTCAGCCTGTAATCCCAGCACTTTGGGAGGCCGAGGCGAGTGGACTGCCTGAGCCCGCGGGTTCAAGACCAGTCCGGGCAACTTGGTGAGCCCTCGTCTCTACAATAAATAAAAAAATTAGCTGGGCATGGTGGCGCGCACCTATAGTCCCAGCTACTTGGAAGGCTGAGGTGGAAGGATCGCCAGAGTCCAGCAGGTCGACGCTGGGGTAACTGTGAGCATGTGTGCCACCGTACTCCAGTCTGGGCGATGGAATGAGACTCTAACTAAAAATACACACACACACACACACACACACACACACACACACACACACACACACATATATACATAATGTTTGTAAAACATGTAGCAGGGTGCCTGGCACAGGTTTCCATACAAGAAATGGATATGACTATATCTCTTCCACAACAGTAAACTCAAATGCCTCCAGGGCCTGGGCAGACAGTGTATGTTAACAAAGTGGGCTGGGCATGATGAAAACAAGGGGGACAGGAGAGCTGGGCCCCCTCTAAAGAGGGCAGCTGCTGTTCTGCAGATGACATGCCTTGCATGCTGGGTTGACACTGCTGGGATTTGCCTGGTATGCTTTGGTATGGTAGATAAATATTTTGAACTTCACCCCAGGTTGAAGACCTGAGGTTGCCCCAATCGACCTGTTTTCCAAAAGAAGCCTGAAATAGAAAATGCATTGATTGTTAAGTTTTCCCAATTCGTGCTGTCTTCTTTCTGAGGAATTGGTGGGAAGTGGGGTTAGGGATGTTCAGAGGATATGGCCCTAGGTTCAGGCCTCTCCCAGCGCTAAGCTTCTGGGACATCTTTTAAGGAGCTAGCTCCCTCTGACCTAACTTGCCCTTCTGCTACCAGTCATGACTTGTGCCGACCCTGGTGAGATCACCAACGGACATCGTACTGCCTCGGATGCTGGCTTCCCTGTTGGCTCGCATGTCCAGTATCGCTGTCTGCCAGGATACAGCCTGGAGGGGGCAGCCGTGCTCACCTGCTACAGCCGGGACACAGGCACACCCAAGTGGAGCGACCGAGTCCCCAAATGCGCCTGTGAGTCTGGGGAACACCCTGGGAAAGGTGGCTGGGTAGCCTTGGGAGAGTTTTTCTGCCCCACGGCTTGGGAGTACAACTGGCACGTTACTGGCACACTCCCTGCAGTGAAGTACGAGCCATGCCTGAACCCCGGGGTTCCTGAGAATGGCTACCAGACGTTGTACAAGCATCACTACCAAGCAGGCGAATCTCTGCGCTTCTTCTGCTATGAGGGCTTTGAGCTTATCGGCGAGGTCACCATCACCTGTGTGCCCGGTCACCCCTCACAGTGGACCAGCCAGCCCCCGCTCTGCAAAGGTGCCTGGGCAGACACGGCAGGAGGGGCACATCAGTGTCCAGGGAATGACAGGGCTGGGAAAGTCAGGTAGCAAATTCGAGACCAATGGGTGACCCTGCTAGGCCTTCCCCGCTATCCTTCTCCTGTGGGCTCTTACCCTCACGGGTATGTCCAGAAGTCCTGGGGAAACTTGAGGTCACAGAATTATGCTAAGGGGTGTAGTAGAGGGGACCTTGGTTTGGAAGTCCCTTGCCCTCTCTGGATAGGCCTCAGTTTTTCTCTCTGACAAATTCTGAAGACTTGTTTGGCTCAGACTGTCCAGGAACCCCGAACTTTAAGGGGTCTGGCAAAGGAGGAAGAAGGCCCTGCCCTGATCACGCCTCTTTCTCCCCGACCACCAACGGAAAGATAAAGTTTAGGTTGAATGGAGGGCACAAAGAACCAGACTGTCCAGCCCAGCCCTACTGGGCTCCCGGCCCTCTACCCGCACCTCCTTCCCTCCCTGGCTCAGACCCCGTCCCCTCCCCCTCCTCTCCCTGCAGTGGCCTATGAGGAGCTCCTGGACAACCGAAAACTGGAAGGTCAGTGAGGGCACAGGTGGAGTCACAGGCCTGGCCAGGTCGGGAGGGCAAGGCAGAGGCCGGGGGCAGGAGGCCAGGCCCCGGAGGGGTGAGGCCCAGGGTTCAAGGCCCAGGGTAGAAGGCTGGGAGAACCCAGGACTGGGCCCAGCCTCAGCTCACCGGCTTCTCCTTCCCCAGTGACCCAGACTACAGACCCGTCACGACAGCTGGAGGGTGGGAACCTCGCCTTGGCTATCCTGCTGCCCCTAGGCTTGGTCATTGTCCTTGGCAGTGGAGTTTACATATACTACACCAAGTAAGTACCCCACTTGGAACTGCTGGCCAGGTCAGACGTCTTGCCTGCCTGGCACAAGAGCTTGGGGCGGACTCGGGGGCTTACCTGTTGATAAGAGCCTCTGTCCCATCCCTTTCTCAGGCTTCAGGGAAAATCCCTCTTCGGCTTCTCGGGCTCCCACTCCTACAGCCCCATCACTGTGGAGTCGGACTTCAGCAACCCGCTGTATGAAGCTGGGGTGAGCCCCTCCCCTCCCCCTGGAGTGCCACATCTCTCAACTCCGCCAGGACTCCATAACCTTCTCTCAAGATCTCTGGAATCTCTGTCTTGGGAATTTCCAATTTAGTGGCCTACAGGGGCCATGTCAATGAGCAAGGCAAGCCATGTGTGAACAAGGGAGCAGTGAGGACTGCAGCTAACTAGAGAACATGTGCCCCATTTAATGGATAAAGCTCCAGCCTGCAGTCAAAACTTAGGCCCAACTGCCAGATCTTCTCATTGTTCAAAACAAAGCAGAAATTCAGATTTTTATATCATTTTAAGACAATGGAGGATGACCCAAGCATATCCAATGGCCAGATCCAGCCCCACTTCTACTCTGTGACACCCCCCCAGCCCTCAGTGATCAATGTTACTTTAAAACAGGGCCTTTCCCTCTCCCTGTGGAAGCCTCCTCCCATTTTGCTGCCTCCTCCACCGCTATCCCACATCAACAACTGATCTGCTCTCTCTGTCTTCAGGATACACGGGAGTATGAAGTTTCCATCTGAACCCCAAGACTAAGGCTGCAGGACCCAGGACGCCCCTCCCCTCCTCATTGGGGGCAGGGGGAGCACAGGACCTGATCTCTGCCTCCTGGCTCCCCTCGTCCCTGGCTGTGTAAATAGTCTCCCCATCCCATGAGGGGGCTTTGATGGCCCTGGAGACCTTACAGTAAATAAACCAGCATCCTGCCGCCCAAAGCCTCCTCTACTCAGTTGCCAAACAAGGGGCTTGCCCCCAACCTACTGGCTTTTGGACCCTGGGAGGGGAACTCAGCCCCCCTGCAACTCTCGGGCCCCTCCAGCCCAGGGTACCCCCCTCAAGGACTGCCCCTCATAGCTCTACTGTTCCCGTGGCCATTAAGGCCCTCCCCTCCCAGATGCCCTGGCCCAGGCCTGACTCCTGGGCCATGGAGGGTCAGAAGGATGAAGAGGAGAGCTGGGACAAGGTCCCGCCCCCTTCCTGCCATCTCCCCAACCCACAATCTCTCTACTTTTGCTTCTGGATTCTTGTTTTTGAGCAATAAACAGAAAATCACCACTTGTAACTGGGTTGGTGGGGTATGGGAAGGTGATCACAGTGATGGCAACCTCTCTGGAGAGAGGACTTGGGGAAAGAACAATTTGGAAAAGATGGGCCGGGCTCGGTGGCTCAGCCTGTAATCCCAGCACTTTGGGAGGCGAGGCGAGTGGACTGCCTGAGCCCGCGGGTTCGAGACCTGCCTGGGCAACTTGGCGAGACCTCGTCTCTACAATAAATCAAAAAACACCTGAGCATGGTGGCGCATGCCTATAGTTCCAGCTACTTGGAAAGCTGAGTCGGATGGAAGGAAAAGATGGAAATCTAGCCAGGTATGCTGACTCACACTGTAATCCCAGCACTTTGGGAGGCTGAGGTGGGAGGATCATTTGAGCTCAAGAGTTCAAGGCCAGCCTGGGAAACATAGTGAGGCCTTGTCTCCACAAAACGTCAAAAAGTTAGTATGCCTGTAGTCCCAGCTACTCAGGAGGCTGAGGTGGAAGGATTGCCTGAGCCCAGGAGCTTGAGACTGCATTCAAAGACTCAAAAAAAAAAAAAAAAAAGATAGAAATCTAAAACTGGGCAAAGGGCAATGTCGTGAGTGCTGGCCTGGGGTCAAAACTTCCAGCCTTAGGCTCAGCCTCTGTGAAAGAGTGTCTGGTGCAGTCCTCTCTGCCAGGCCTTGCGATGGCTGGGCTCTTCTAGCTGGAAAGAGCAGACAGGAGTTGCCTGTCCTCCCTCCCTGCTTGGCAAGAGGCAAACAGCTTTAAGTTTGTCTCATAACTAGTTTACCTAAAATTCAACCCCCTTTTGAGAATTTTTGTATCCATTCAAGTATCCCACTCCCCGCATTCTTTTTGGCATTTTAAGCATATCTGCTGTTACATGTTTACCACTCTGAGCTTGCTGGGTTTCCTTGTGGGTGTCCTTTTCTATTTTATCTGCTCGTGAACATTATAAGGAATTTATAGCCTGTTTGTCTAAAGAGTCTTTTTCCAAATTAACTGAATTTTACATAATTAAAATTTTATATTTAAATACAATTAAACATTTTTGGGATACTCAAAAGGATGCTGAAATACTCAAAAGGAGAACATGAGGAAAGCTACTCTTAATAGCTTAGGTTTTTTGAGTATTATGTACCAAGCATTGCGCTAAGCACTGTGTATGCATTATGTTGTTTAACTCTCATAAGGACCGTATTGAGACAGGGAAAATGTATTATTCTCATTTTTCAAATAAGGAAACTGAGGCTCAGAGATGTGAACTGGCTTTGTCAGGAGACTCCAATAAATGGCCAGGCTGGGATTTAAATGCAAATTCCCCACATATACTGCATGGCCTCTGACTAGTAATAAGCATGATGTGTTCCCCCAGGCGCGAAGCTCCAAAGGTCAAAGGGGACAGGCCATGACTCAGGGTCCTCAGCACTGACAATGGTGGCAGAGGTGGCCCCTCAGAAGCAAGAGTGGGCCCTCCTGGATGCCACAGGCTTAGCCTTTAAGGTGATGGAGGTTGGCTAGAAGGTTGGGTTTGGATCCATGAGCTCATCTCCTCCAACAGATGAAGTTAAACAAATTAAAACCATTCCAGACTGGGCGCGGTGGCTCACGCCTATAAGGCTGAGATGACAGGATTGCCTGAGCCTATAGGTTCAAGACCAATTCGGGCAACTTGGCAAGACCTCATCTCTACAATAAATCAAAAAATTAGTCAGGCATGGTGGCACTCAAAATAATAATAATAAAGCTGCCAGGCTTGGTGGCTCAGCCTGTAATCCCGCACTTTGGGAGGCTGAGGTGAGTGGATTGCCTGCGCCCGCGGGTTCAAGACCCGCCTGGGCAACTTGGTGAGACCTCATCTCTACAATAAATTTAAAAAAAATTAGT